TTATAAAATATTTAAATAATTTACAACTAAAAAAAAACAAAATAGTAATTTCTGCTATAAATTGAATTCATTTAAAATATATTTTAGAATGATTTAATTCAGACTTTATAAGTAAATATATTGTATGAAATTAATGTAGTATCATAAAAGTATAGTGAAACAAATTGAGAAGACAGGATATGGCTTATTTAAATTATCAAGTTAAGCCATAGAAGATAAATCATAGAATATTTGTATATAAAATGATCATTTCTCAACATATATTTTCAAGTGATAAACAAAGTGAAATCAATTTAGAATGAATGATCTCTTTAACTACTAATCTTTTTTAATAGAAGGAATTAGAATTAGAATTACAAGTTATGCATATTTGGAATTACATTCCAAATATGCATAACTTTCTATTCATTTTTATAAATTTACAATTATTATTATTACTTTGCCAGAAGTTAATGTCTTTTTTTTAAACTTAACTTAATCATTAATAACTTCAGTTCAATTAGAATATGAAAAAGTTTCATTTAACAAGACTGAATTTCTGCTAAAATACTTTGACAACATGAACTGAAAATAACTATAAAAACAGACCCTATACCAACCTATATAATTATCCCAATCACTATTAAGTTTCATGTGTTGTTGTAAACACCCCTCCATAACATTGAGGCAATAATTTGCACATGGTTTTAATTCAGGAAGACCACGACAATGAGGGCAATATGTCATTCTCATTAACCCACGATTACAATCGTCGGATGGCAATACCTACAATAATAACTTTTTAATTTCATAATAAAAAGTATTTCTACATAATTAAGCTTAAACACAAATCAATGAAAAATAAATGTTAAATATTAAATCCAAATCAAAATTAAATCATACTTACTTCTAGCATATTTTTTACAACATCTCTACCAATAGCTAAAGCTTGAACAAAAGTTCTAGTAGCAGTGAATGATCTCTTTACTTCTAAAGTCAATTTTTTTGGTACATCTCCGAATGGTTTCATCTCATCCAAATAATCGGCAATGCAGTTAAGATGGCCTTCCCCAAATGTATATTGCCCATTTATCACCTATCAAAAGAATTTCATATTTTATTTATTATATAAAATGCAAATAATCTTAATAAATTATATCAATTATAAATAATTAAACTACAAGTTTATCCTAAATCATTGAAGAAGAATAAAAATGTTTAAGCCACAGCACTAGCTGCTCTATATCAAACAACTAAGTAAAATATAATGAAAATTTAAGCTTTTCTGTAATGTTGTCCTAACATAAGTCTTAGCTACAATCTTCACTCTACAGTCATTTATTCACTTTGAGTAAAACTGCATAATTTACTTGCATAATTTAGAAATAAATAAATAACCAGTTTGTTGTAGACTAATTCTCGATGCTACTATTTGTTCTTTTTATTCCCACTTTTTCTAAGTAAAAAAAAAACATGACACCTAAAGGCAAATCTTTAACTTTTATTTCACTTTATTTTACTGTTTATTTTGAGAAATAAAAGTTAAAGATTTGCCTTCTGGTGTCATGTTCTCTTTTTTTTGTAAAAAAGGAGAAAAGATAAACAGTAGTATTGAGAATTACTACAAGACATCTTTCTTTGTGGATTAAATAGATAACTTTTATTTTTCTAATTGTAATGATTAAATTAATATAATTTTTATACCAAAAATATGATATTTGTTAATTTTATATGTTTTTCCTAGTTTAATAAGTTTTTCCTTTTGTACACATACTTTCAAAATAACAAATTTAACATAGCAATTAGAAACAAATTCATGTAAAAAATAATTTTGACATTAACAATTTATTCTGCAAAATGATTATTTATTCATTTTGCTCATTGAAACATGTTTTACTCATCAAATGTGTTCATTCACCCATAAACAGAAATTATATCTTCTTGTTACTACAGCGATTGAGCATGATATACTTTAGCATTGCAATTTAAATTTAAGAAATAATATAAATAATCAAACTAAATTTCTTTTTATTAAACTCAACATCAAAAAATATTACAGTTGTTAAGGGAAACTATTGATGATTAAAAGAGATTTCTTGCTTTCACATCTGGAAATTTAAATGAAATCAGCTAGGATAACAGTTCACTGTCCAATGTAACTTAATGTTTTGTGAATTGTTAGCAATCATCAGATAAATATGATAAGGTGGCAAATTGATCAAACTAGTTGATGTTTCTAATCATAGTAGTCATATCTATAATCTCTCTCAAGCAGTGTTTGAAAAAATTCCTTAGTAATTAAAATATTTTTCTATAAATAAAAATAATTAGATAGTAAAGATCGTGGAAATAGATAGAAACAAGCAAACCAACCAAAAACATCAAACATATATGTAAAATGATCCAGAAAGAAACAATTTGGAATGTAAGAGGTTAAGTTAACAGGACTAGAAAGTATAATGTTAACATTATTGAGATATCTGAAAAGTAAAGCAGAGTTATGTTCAATTAGAATATAAGATAATCCATTTAAAAAAATAACATTAAATGAAGGAAAATATTTGCAATTGCTTTTACAGATGAATTAGAAGAATAATTAATTTACAAAAATCTGTTTGTGATGGAGTATGCAGGTCATATGATAAATGAAATAATACTTGTCTTTACATACTGCAACTAAAGATATAAAAACATGTCATTACTGATAAGAACTTCATCGATGTCAGAGACTTCAACATTTGGATAAAAAAAAAAACAATATGAGGATGTCAAACCATTATAATCATTTTTGTAAATAAAGATAAAGTAAAAATCTATTTCTGAATACAGCATACAGAAAGAAAAGACAAGAACAAGAATAATCAAATGGAGATTTTAAATAAGAGAAAATTCTACCAACCAATATAAAATGCAAGGACATATTCAGAATTTGAAATTATCAACCATCATTACTTGATTTTGAGGACATTTAGAATATACATAATTATATGTATAGAAGTGCAAAAAATTACAAAGACTTTTAACATTATCAGTATAAATAAATTAAAGGAAAACCTCTGTAACAAACAAAATAGAGAAAATATGAAAAAGATTCTAATATTCTTACTTATTCAACCAGGAAGTTTAAAAAAAATCACCTACAAAAATAAAATTACAGAATATCATAACAAAAGACAATGAAATTTGAGAAGCAATGGAACCAAATATGTATATGACTGTAATAATTTTAAAGTGATATATTCTAATATCAATGTATCTGGAAACAGTAATATTGAAAATAGTTAAGGAATTCTACCAGAATAATCATTCATAAAAAAAAAATGTTTATGTTTATGTTTGTTTAGTTATGGCAACACAACACTTGGGCAATCTGCCTAGGAGGATGATTTCTGAGAGGTCTTTTAAGGGTAACTGGCCCCTATTTAGACATTAAAGATGTAGAGAAAACCTGGAAACTCCACGTGGCCAGCCCATCCTGGCAAGGTGCAAACCCACAATCAAACTACCAGTGTTCAGTGAATGAAACACTTGGCCACTGGTGGGCCCATAAAAAATTATTTGACTTTTTACCTTAGACTCTCTTTCTTGTGATTAATAATATCACTAATTTTATTGAGAAGAAAGTGAATAAAGTGTATCTGGTTAAATAAAAACATTCAAAAGATACATGAATCTTAACTGATTTCTTTATTGTTCTAAAAGTAATGTTAAAAGCCATGTTAGCAGTCAGAAGAAATGTATCTATACACTTATAATGGCTGAAAATAAAGCAAACATTGTCAACTTTGTGTAGTTGTTATCACCAGGAAGCTGACATGACAAAGTTATAGTGTGATATTGGAGCTAGAAGAGTATTGTCATATTGCATAGTAATATGCAATGCTTTAAGTAATCATGAGAAATTCTTTGTTGTGGAGCATTATTTTTGGTCATATGGGACCAGCTGCTTGGGTGAATTTAGTGTAAAATGTGTTTAAACTTTTCAAAGAAGAGTTCCATAAAATTTCACCTACAAAGCAAATGTTGTTAGTAAAAAAAAGTTTAGGTAAACTGGATCATTTCTTTGTCAACGATACATTTTCAGCAGACATTTTTGTATCAATATTGGAAATTTACAAACAACCTCCAGTATTGATATGAAAAATGTCTGGAGTTGACTGGTTCATACCTAAAGCATGTACAAGTTCTTTGTAATGTCCTGCAACTAGGTTAAGTTAACAGAGGATTCAGAAACTTCAAGAAATTTCTTTTATTTACATTACTAAAATTCATAAATATCATAAGTATATTTTATTTCAGCCATGCTGTATAATAACTAACCTCAGTTTCAATAATTATAAACATCACAATTTTTCATACTATAATTCAACTTAACTTTAACTAATGAAAGTAAGTAATTTGGTCTAAAGATAAATGAGATAGATAGCTAGGCTGTCACTTTGTATTAATATTAATAATTTAATTAAATTAATGAAACTAAATAATTTGGTCAAAAGAATAATACAACATATAGCTTAGAACTGGTTGCTAGACAGTTGTTTCACCACTTGTACAAAGATCTTAGCCAAGTTTACTTAAACCCAAAGACAGCTGTTATGTTACATAGTATTTAATTCTTAAATTTTTATTTATTTTTATAAATCTTTTAAGTTTTTATAAAGCTGTGGAGGACTGAGATACAGACATCTCCAGTCGTGCAGTAATTAACCTGAATGATTTTATTATATTATGTTATATAAATTCAGATTAATAGGTTTGGAAGCAAAGATCAGATAGAGGTCTGGGCAGCATAATAATTGATAACACATCTATACAGTAAGCAGAAGTTGCACATCTGACTTTTGTTTCGTGTTAATCTTTTCTTTCAGAATATTTTAAATTATTTAATTTGATACAAAAATTAATTAAATTATTAATATTAAAAGTTGATGATGACCTAAAAAGCTATCTTTAGACCTACTTACTTAGTTTCATTTGTTAAAGTTTAAATTATAACTGAAAAACTCGGCTTGAAGACATTTATGAATTTCAACAAAGAATTACATGTGAGTTTCAAGATTTAGAAAAATAATTTCTTCAGTCATTACAGTTTAATATTTTAATTTTTTACAGAATTAAGAGACCGAAACACAAACATATGTTGGTCTTGATTTAAATTTTTCTTCTTAGTATACAAAAAGAAAACAATATTTTTATCAAGACTATAGAATAAATAAAATATAGGAAATCAGTCATAAAAACACTAAATCCTCTTTTCTTTTTTACTATGTGGATAGAATAATAAAAGACAGCAAAATTATGATTACTTTAAAAAGTAAAGCTAATAGTGTTAACATCATTAGTATGATGATAACTTAATTCTAACTCTCAACAATAAATTAGTATGTATTCAATGAATTTCATAACTTAAAATTCATTGAATGTGTCTTACAATACTTGAAATTCATTGAATGTTTCAGAAAATGGGATATGAAGATTAGTAGACTTATAACTAAGATAATAGAAATAGGTCACAAAAAAGGAAAAGTTTCTTGTTTTCTAGGTAATGAGAAACTGGAACAAGTTAGACAGTTTAAATATTTAAATATTGTCTCTTAATATTTTAACATGCCTAGATATTGAGATAAGTAATTAAATTAAATAAAAACAGAATACGAAATAGTAAAAGGAAGTAATTGATATTACCAAAAACTTTGTGACACTTCTGTTTTTAAAACTGCTTCTTGTCATGTTATGACAGATTGAAAAAAAAGTTAAAACCAGAAGCATAACTTTTTTGAAAATTTATTATAGTACAATATAACTTCTTTTAACTATCATAAGCCATAGTGATAAGATGAAAAATATAACAGATGAAAGGATGAAAAACAGGAAATGTCAAATGAGTTCTAAATATTGTTGGACTATTGTTTAAAAATTCTATACTTTCTCCCTTAAATGTTAAGAAGAAAACTAATTCAATTCTATAAAACATAATATCCTACTTGATAATTATACTGAAATTCATTACTTTAATAAATAAATTTAATATCTATAAAAATATCAGATAGAGAGGGAAAAAAGAATAATTAAATATTGTTATTAGAGAATTGCTAA